GACATCTTAATGCACCCTCCACTGGGGCATTGGTGAATAATGATTTTACATCAAAAGAAACCATGCGTAAATTACTAGGAGAAATGTTTTTAACCTTTTTTACAAACTCTATTGAATTTTTTATGGTGTAAATGTTATTGTCTAATAGAGTGGAAAATCTAGAAACTAAATATTTAGCTAAAGGATACGAGGCAGTACCTAAATTTGATACAATAGGGCGGAAAGGAATACCACTTTTATGAATTTTGGGAAGAGCATATAATCTGGCACAATTCGCAACAGATGGGATAAGCGAATGTTTTAAGTTGCTTGAAATAATTTGCGAAGATTTGATCGCAGTTTTTATTTTGGATACGTCCGAAGGTGAAGGATCTTTAGGGATCGGATTATATGGTCCTTCGTTTAAGAGTTTAGTGACACCATCGATGTAAGTGTTCTTATCCATGACGACTATCTGGCCACCTTTGTCGGCCTTTGAAATGATAATATCCGGGTTAGAATGAATTTCGCGCATTGTAGCTCTTTCTCTCTCGCAGTTAGATTTGGTTTCAAAGGTTTATTATTGAATTTCACATTATGAGCGATAAGATGCCTAATCATTTCTTTTCTGTGAATCTGAAACTTTACTGAACTTGAAAGCTTTTTCGATAGGAGCCAAAATCTTTGGAATCGAGGGTTTACAGGTTTGTGAGAAGTTAAATTATATTTTAGAATTCTCTCTTGTTCTTCTGAAAGACTAACATTAGAAATATTAACTATTGGCTTGATGTTTACAATGGGAAGATTTTTTGAACTACTTGAACTGGAAGACTGTAAAAGAAGTTTTTCGAATTTAACTGCAAGGGTGTTTTTATGACGGTTCGGTAAAACCATCGAAACTAGTCCTGTGAAAATTTTGTAGGTATAACGCTGATTTTTGTTGTTTGACTTCTGAATTAGTATTTATTCGGCGTGTTCTTGTGTCTTAATTAAATCAACTCCTGTTCAATGAAAAATAATTAAGAAATAAATACGAAATTGTTTCGTCCTTTACTTGAGCAATAAGGTGATGCCAAACCGGCAATTCAAGTCAGGCCAAACATTTCGTGATTAGAAGGGATTAAGAACCAATGCAGAGATCCAAAGAACTCATTGCGATTAAGTATTTTAGCTAATTTAATTTTGAGTGAAAAGCAATTTCTGCAGTAAATGTGATATCGCTCGAGTAAGCATTCCCAGACACCCTCGTTTTTACGCATTTGAGTTCAATATTATTTGTACAAATTAAACATTGGAAATGGTCTTATGAAATATAATTCTAAGTAGTTGAAATAAACATTAGAAAATTATAAAATATAAGAAAATAATGCAATGTTTGTAAAAACAAATCAAAAAATAAAAATAATATAATAAGAAAAGTGAATATATGAAGATATAAAGATTATTAGTTTTATTAAGTGTAAGACAATTTGGATAAATCTCTGAGTGTTAAATTTTATTAAAATTATTAATCGTAATAAGGTCATCAATATATCTGTAGGTGTGCTTGTAGTAATTTAACTCTTGTGGTTGTAGACTTCTTTGGAAGTGAAATTCTTTGATAAATAGAAAGATATTATAGAGCGAGGTACTGGAATGTGAGCCCATTGGCAGACCTCTGACTTGTTTAAAAGTTGATTTTGAAATTTGATGTAGTTATGAAAAAGTGTGCATTTTAGGTAGGTTTTCCATTTGTTAAGATTTATAATTGTGAGCATATCAGGAAAGAGTTTCGGTAGATCTAGTAGACTAGTATAGATTTCTTCTAGAGGAAGTGAGGTATATAAGTTTTCAAAGTCATAGTAGTTCATGCTTTGTATGTTAATTGTTTGAATGGCATTAATGACAGGAGTCTTATTATGGATGATCCAGCAATAGTTATGATTAGTGTTACAATCATTGAAAATAAATGCTCACAATTATAAATCTTAACAAATGGAAAACCTACCTAAAATGCACACTTTTTCCCAACTACATCAAATTTCAAAATCAACTTTTTAAACAAGTCAGAGGTCTGCCAATGGACTCACATACCAGTACCTCGCTCTGTAATATCTTTTTATTCATCAAAGAATTTCACTTCCAAAAAATCTACAACCACAAGAGTTAAATTACTACAAGCACACCTACAGATATATTGATGACCTTATTATGATTAATAATTTTAATAAAATTGAACACACAGAGATTTATCCAAATGGTCTAATAATAAAACTAATGATTACACTTAATAAAACTAATGATTCACAAAATAGCATAGACTGTCTTGATCTTCAAATCATTAACTATAAAAAAATTTTACTTTTTGACAAAACAAGAAACTTCAATACTAACAAATTAATGAATTGGAATTCCAACATATCCAAAAGAGTAATTAACAATACAATAATAAATCAAATACAACAAATTAAAAATATCTGCACAGATACGATAGATCTGCAGCACAAAATTATGCTCCTTATTAAAATTCTCAAAAATAATCTAATACCTAATCAATTTATTAACCATTGCCTTAAAAGAGCAGGCGTTAATACTCACTCTAAATAATTTAACAGATACAGATATGATAATTTGTTCCTAAACCTTAGAAGGCGGTATAAGTTGGATGACTATCAGTTGAAGGATTTGCACATAGTAAAATTACTAAACTGTATATAATCTAAAAAGCTAATTATCTTCAGACTTATGCTGTTACTAAAAAAACGGGCCTATTTCATAATCTTTAGTCTGTCAAACAGCTCTTTGACAGTGAAAATTCCTTTTTTCCTTTCTTAAATTCTTCATCGTTACGACACGACAATTAGCCAGAAATGAATTAACTTCCATTCACTAGTATTTTCAAAAAAATTTTAACAGACGGTTTCACTCAAATAAGAACTCTACAGCTTACATCCCTCAAGAACTCCTAGTCCCTCCCACACCATAAATTACTTCACACAAGTCTTGCCGACTGATATAATTCAAAGCCCCCGCTGCCGCTAAAGAATTTTCTGAACACAACCCTTCTGAGTCAGATGTGAAGAGAACACTTTGCCCACTCCCAACTAGAAAGAACGTAAGCTAATTAATGCTTTTTCTGGCCTTTATATCTTCATGTACAACATTAATTTTTCTTATTATATATATTTTTATTTTTTGATTTGTTTTTACAAAGATTGCATTATTTTCTTATATTTTATAATTTTCTAATGTTTATTTCAACTACTTAGAATTATATTTCTTAATGACAATTTCCAATGTTTAATTTGTACAAATAATATTGAACTCAAATGCATAAACACGAGGGTGTCTGGGAATGCTTACTCGAGCGATATCACATTTACTGCAGAAATTGCTTTTCACTCAAAATTAAATTAGCTAAAATACTTAATCGCAATGAGTTCTTTGGATCTCTGCATTGGTTTTTAATCCCTTCTAATCAAGGAAATGTTTGGCCTGACTTGAATTGCCAGCTTGGCATTGCCTTATTGCTCGAGTAAAGGACGAAACACCTTTGTATTTATTTCTTAATTATTGTTCATTGAACAGGAGTTGGTTTGTTACCCTTGAAAAGTCAACTAATTTCTGATCAATGACAATGATTACTTGCATTTAATTTAATTCTTGCTTTTAATTTATTCCTTTTACAATTGTTATTCATGATTTAATTCCAGTCTCCGTTAAACATTTTTAACAATTTACATTCAAGTTACTTAAAAACATCTTTCGAAATAGAACTTACTAAGTATGGATTCACTCTTTTCAGATCATTCTACTCTAATTAATCTTAGGAGATAATACAATCAATATTATTCAGTAAATAAATTATATATATATATAATATATAATTAATATCTCTTTTTTTTTAAACTTACTTGGTTTTTTCCTTTCACATTTCAAAATTTAGGTTTATTCCAAATAAAATTTGCCCATTTTTAATGATTTATTTTTTAAATTTTTATAATTCTTCGAAAACAATTTTTGAATTATAACCTATAAAATTTTTACCATCATCTTAAAGTAGATGTATTTCTAAGTATACCTGCAAAAAATTTGAAGTTTTTATTCAAAATTTCCAAAGATATATGTGAATTTATATATTAGCCCATTTTGAAATTTGCCGTATTTGTCATAACTGATAAAACTCTAAATATGGTTTACGCACTTTGTTAAAACTATTTGAAAGTACGAACAATGCAGCCTTTTTTCTGCTCATGTGCAATGAAAAAAGAGAAAGGAAAATAGGTTGCTATAAATTAAGAATTTCACCAAGTGAATTATTCTTGGTGCAATATGAAAAAATGCACCCTGATAAATTTTTAAATTTCTAGATAAATTTCTCACCAAAAATTACAAAATTTAATATCTAAGTATATTTTGAGTCACAGAATCGAAATACGGGAAAAAATTGGTATGCTATTTCAAAAAAGTCCGATTTTTGTGTCAAAATACACGTTGGAATAATGCTATACATAAATGTAATGTATATCCTATGTCATGCTTCTGAGACATGGAAAACACAAATTAAATTTAAATAGGTCCAGTAGAATGGGAGATATAGAAGTGCTCCCCTTTTTTTGCAAGGTGTACAATAGAATTACTGTGTACATAACTGCATACAGAATCTTAGAGTAATAACTGGGAAGTGGTATGAGAGAAGTTAATTGCCTTCTTATTTTAGCAGAGTTCATATGAAGGCAGAAACTATTACAGAGAATAACAATCTGATGCCAGTCTGAATGTGATTGCCAAATCAAATCATATCAGCCAGAAATCAATCTGTAGAATCAATCTACTCAAGTCAAAACTCCATTTCACTACTAAAAGATATCCATATACCTTCTATTTTAACCTAGGTTGTAAATTAAATTATTTTTTCTCAGCCATAACTTTAAATCTGAATTTATTTAAAATACTTATATTTATTTCTCTACCATACTTTTCTTTCTGGAAACTACCCTACTTTTCTGAAATATACGATAATTTTCTGAAATATACTATACTTTTTTGCAGATTGAAATGATCATCATTAGAAATGCAAATCTTCATCAATGAGCCCAAACAAGGAGCAACTTTGTAATTCACAGCACAGTTCCTATATTCATTTATTGCACTTTCTAAATCATGCCTAAAAATAGAGAGAATTATTATTATTATTATTATTACTATTTCAATTTAAAAATATTAATACAGAGTTTTTTCAATAAGTTATACCTTATTACTTTTTGAATCTTTCTTATCTTAACATTTAAGGCATCTTAGTGGAAGAGATTAACACAATTCTCATTCAGTTTCTTCCTGTCTATCACATGTATACAAAGGCCTGTGAAATGCTATGCTTTCCTTATTCCATATTTTTCAGTATCTGATATTATGTAGTTAAGACGGTAAATTGTTAACTGTCATTTTTACAACTATTTGATATAGCACAACATCAATGATTCTCAAATTTTAACAATTTACTGTACCACATGATAATAATTTATCTTTATTTAATGACGCATTGTCAGTCTTTAATGCTTATCCTGATGATGTTTATTTTTAAAAGTATGATGTTCATTAGCAAGAGAATTTATGGTTTGCAACATGGTAATGTGAAATCTTACAGCACAATCTTTTATAAAATTGGGATATTCTATTCAATACTACTTCTATTCAATACTTAAGAATTCATATCCTTATTTAGCTAACTTTCTCTTAAAATACTTCAGACTATAGTTTCCATACTTATAGGAAAACATGCATCACTTTTCATATGTGACCACATGTAATGTGAGCCACATATGACTGTGGGCCACATATGCTATATTAAGCTACATATGGTAGTGAACATTATTGCTCCTTTTAATTCTCTTTTATCGATTATTATCTATTTTGTTCATGTTAATGGCAAAAACCAATCAAGTCATTAAAATCAAACACCTATTTCTAATAAATGCTGTCATTAAAATCAAAGCCGGTATAGTGGTTAGGGAAGCCTGATTGCGATACCAAAGGGCCCGGGTTCGAATCCCGGAGCAGGCATGGATGTAAAATTGCCCGTCCCTTCATAGGAGGTAACTGTGATCGCCTATTGGGTGCCTCCATAATAAAATGGCCACCACTTCTGGCCTTAGTAGTGGCCAATGCCGTTAAGGGCAAGTGCCCACCATTCTGGAAAAAATAAATAAATAAATAAATAAACAAACACATACTTCCAATAAATGCTATATAGCAGATATTTTATATGTGCTTGCATCACCATATTCATAAATGATATGCTGTTTTCCAATAACATAAAACAACTGTTAGAGGTTTGCGAAAGCAATTTATTAGTGCTGTACTTGCAAAAGTTATCTGAAGTCATTTCCATTATTTTCCTAAAACTTTTACACAGCAATAAATGCAAAAATACAATTGATACTAACAAATGTTCGAATTAAAAATAATATACCCATGGAAAGGTGCATAATTTTTTATTAAGACTAACTTCAGCTTCAGAAGAGAAAAGGTTTTCGAGATATAAAGAACTCATAAATTCCAAACTGCATTTAAAATTCATGGTACTAGTATACAGTGAAAAAGCAATTCAGAGCCCAAAGATAGCAGAAACAAATATTTTGACAACATGAAATGTTAGCCTACATTTCATAACATTTGAGTAAAGGCTGGAATGGTAAAGCAGTTTAAATAAAGCCTGATTTACGATAAAGCAGTCAATAATTATTAGTGAAGGACTTTCTATGAGAAAATGTTTGCTATTTATGGTACATGAAAAAAAGGACATCATAAAAATTCTTATTCCGTTCCACCTCTAAAAATTAACACTTATCAATATACTGCCACTACTGTTCATGGTCCTAACAGCCACTTTAGCCCAACGGCAAACCCAGATTCCTAAAATGGTCAAAATACCATGACCATATCTAGCCTCTATAATGTAAATTTTTAATTTTCAAATTGAACACTTCCTCTGAAATATTTTATATGCCAAGCTAATGTAAAATGATAAAGAAAATTAGCATTAATTCATGTGAGAAAATTTTTTTTAATGTTCCCGATGCCATTATAACACAACCATATCAAACAATCCCTAATAAAATTACTATTATAGTTAAAGCAGAAGTGATATACATATATTCCGACAGATATAATGTTAGATGCAGCATAGATTCCCTTTTAAAAATTAAAAAGATAATCATAGAGACAGGCGATTCTCAACCAGTGGTACACGTACAAACACATACAAAGAAACAAACTATTTTTAACTATTAAATTCCAAAATTAAATACCCCAACATCCTGATTAAGTTTTTTTCCCTAACACGCGTAAATTCATGCGATCTGAGGTCAACAGTTTAAGGTCAACAGCCGCTCATAGACTTTAGCAAAATAATCAGGCTTTATTTTCAAATATTCTTTTAGCTATAGAAATAATTTGTCACAAATGATGTTTTTAAAAGGTGTACCAGAAATGGATATTGCGATCGATTTAGCATGTCTACATTTTATGTTGGCACTATTTTCATGCTCATATTGCCCTATTTTCAATTAGATTAATTTTTTAAGTCAATTTGCTGTTTCTAACAGCAGGTATTTTGCTTCTTGTCGCTTTGTATTCCTTCCTTTTCTATACGATTACAAAACAAACCTAGATTTTCAAAATGAAAAAATGGCTAAGATTGACTAAGCGGAAAAGTATTGATTCATAGGTGATGAGTCCAGGACAATTTACTATCATTAGGAATATTCAAATGAAAAGCAAAATTGTTTACAGAAAATATAATGAAAGTAATTTATCATTTGGGTTTATTTGGCACGGAGATGAAATGGACCTCAACCTCAAAGTGCTGTTTGCAGTGAACTATTACCCAATCAAAGTATGAACCATCGTTTCTTAATCTTGAATCAAAGCATGCAAATTTAAAGGATAAATCTGATGAATATTTTAAGAGGAAATTATCGGAGTTCATAAATAGCAAACAAGTAATTATGGTACATGAAAAATAGGACTTCATGAAAATTCTTATTCCATTCCACCTCTAAGAATTAACACTTATCAATATACTGCCACCACTGTTCATAGTCCTAATAGCCACTTTAGCCCAATGGCAAACCCAGATTCCTAAAATGGTCAAAATACCAGCAGCTAAAGATACCAAGTTAATATTATTCAGTGAAAAATAGGCTAATGAACTTAATAATATTTTGTTATCAAATGATACAGTTAAGGTGACGAGTTCATGAAATGACAAATTCCAAAAAAGAGACCCTTATTTGCACTGTAATTGGATGAAAGCACACTGATACAACGACTTTGTTCAATTGTTTGTTTACATACATTTCGAAGAAGATAAACGAACTGCCAAAAAGTATTTACTTTGTTAATCTCTTCATGGTAGAGGAACTGGAAATGAAATTTTTAAAGTAACTGAATATTTTATGTCTGAGAATGATATTCCTTGGAATAATGCATTGCCGTATGCTTATTCCAAGGAATATCATTCTCAGACATGGATGATGATCTGTGATGGAGCTCAGGCTTTAACAGGAAAACATTCCAGTGTTATTTCTCAAAATAAAGAGTCGCATTTGAAACCGTCTGTTAATTTACTCACTGCTGCATTCAGCGTGAAGTTTAAGTAGCCAAAACAATCCCCCCCAAAATTAGAAATGATTTTGAATCATTCTTGGTTTTAATTTTTAACATAATTTAATTTTGTAAGGACAAAGTATTAACTTATTCACCATTAAAGATAAAATAAATGCTATGATAAAAAAACACAAGCTAATAATTAAAGACCTGGATAATAATATTTTAAGCTTTTTACTACTTTTAGAAAATTTTCATACCAGAATTTAATTTGGAAATAAAAAAAAAGAATTAGCATCCAACAATAAAAATCATTGTTTTTCATTAACAAATAATTTCAACATGTATTTTTCCAAGGATTTTGAAAAATGAAATTGGATTAGAAATCCATTTTGTTCAAATGTACCTAAAATTGTATCTCGTGAGGAAGAACAACAATTGATAGAAATTTTTTGTGATCGAACTCTAACTGAAGATTTAAAAAATAACACACTAGGAAACACAAAATAACTTTTGGCTGAACTGAAAAAAAGAATTTAAAGGCATTTCAAATAAAGGTAGTAAATTTTTATTGTCTTTTTGCCCAACTTATTTATGTGAACAAAGATCTTCTTGAATGTTATATTTGAAAAATATAATACAGAACAAAATTAAAAGTGGATCTTAATTAACAGTTAAAGGTGAGTGAAAGAAGACCAGACATAAAGAAATTGATCTCTCTTAAACAGGCCCAAATTTTGCACTAAATTTGAAATTAAAATGTAACTTAAATTTTGATAGTTAAAATGGTAACCAATTTTTAATCTAATATTTTTATGTGTGCATATTTAATAGAAATAAACAATAAGTTGTGCAAATGGCAAAATATTAAATTTAATATTTCTATTGAGAAATTAAAAAATAATCATTGGAATGGAATCTGAAAACTTCAAAAAATTGCTCACTGGTGCAGAAATTACTTTATTTTTCTAAAACCTATTTTTAACAGTGGAAGTAGTAAGTAAATCTCCATTTACTTTAGGTGTTTTATAACTTTAAATAGAGTCTTTCATATTAACTCTAGAAGCAATTAGTTCTTTAAAAAATGCAAGATGTGGGTTCCGTTGGTTGAGTATTCTAGATAAACATTTTAGCCAGTGTGTACATGCATGTTTCAAAATTTTTCTTATTTCAGTACCATGCAGCTGTTGGAATTGTTTTAATTTTCCCTTCCTTTTACAACTCCTTTTAAAATACTAATGTACAACAATGTGTTCATCCATACTTATTGCCCCTTTTTCTGCTGCTAAATTTAAGGTGCATCTCATAATTTGCAAATCTGAATTTTCATTTTTAAGATGCCTGCAACACCAGTCTTCAAGCCTACATTACTGGTGCATTAAATGCTAAGCAACTTTCCTCAGGAATGGCAGCCTTTCTAAAGTGGGGAGGGAAAGTAAACTAAACTCAGTTTCTGAAAACACTGGATTAAAAAAAAAAAAAGAAACAACAACTGGATACAGTTTTGAATCGGTATTGCTGCTTCCATCCGTACAGAGGCAAAATGGAATTGTTTTAATGCAATCTGTAACTGAAGATTTATTTTTCATTCCTATTTCTTTAACAATTGCAGCCTTTTGGTGCTTGCACTTGAGCATTTCCTAGCGATTTTGCTATCGGAAAACATCTTTGTAAATAAAGCTGTAGCATGATATGATGCATTCAGTGGCGGATTATGCTCCAGAAAAGGCAGAGAAAAGGCATTCTGCATTAAAAACTTTTTGGTTCTTTGTTTCCACAGAAAAAATAAACTTACTGAGAGGGCATTTCAAAAGATCACCAGTAAAAGGGAGAAATTTCAACACTAAGAAGTAGAACTGGATAAATAAAACTTTGACAGTATGTTTATGCAACTGAAAGATGACATTCCAAGCAAACCAGAAAATTACAATATAGGTCTGGCATTAATGTCATTATAATGAATATGCATATCAGGATGAAGTATTTTATGGGAGTTCTTTTTCTTAAGCCCATATCACACGGCATTTGTTTCACATGAACTGTTTTAAGACAATTTTTTCTGCCTGGTTTGCAACGGCAATGGAAGAAAGACACGCAATTTTTTCCCCTTCCTTTCAGAAAAAACTACAAGTTGTTCGTTTTCAACCAATCAGCTATCAACTTCGAATGCTATCAGCTTTTTTGTAATGGAGAACCAGTTTCCCCTGTATTAACCACAAAGCAATCTGTGGTGAATGGCTGTTGTGACAAAGCAGAAAAATTGTTCTTCCGAAACAAATGGACATGTGATATGGCCTTAGAAAATCAGTGGTCTGTGTCTGCTTAAAGTGAAAAATGCCTGCAAGGTGACAGCAGTATCAGTGCAGTCATTTGACTCAATTTCGGTAAGATAAAATTCAAGCAGCCTTTGAGAAGGTTGACTTTCTTACTATGAGATAGTGCAAAGAATAAGGCAAGATATTTTTACTATCCGTTGGCAGTAGTGATCCCATGAAGGAATCTAGCCTGATTTTGTGATTTCAATCTAGCCTAATTTTGTCCATCTCTCAAAGAAGAAGATTGATATATTTATAGGATGGCACTAGCAAAACAGATGGCATATGTGAGAAATGGCAGAACCACATGAATTGTCTCAAATCACTTACTGAAAATTAATGCTCACATCACGCTTTCATGGAGACCTGTAGACGTCTTAATGACGTCCTGAAAGCTTTTAAAGAAAATAATGATTTTTAACACTAATTTAATCTTAAGAAGTCCTAACAAATTAAAAAGAATTTCAAGAAAAATAAGGGAATACATACACTCCAAATAGATTATCAATAGGTGTCCTGGTTTAGGATGTGTATGTGTGTATAATTTATCCCCGTTCCCATTAGGTTGAAGCTGAAGATGATGCATTCATTTCATAGGGCCAGTTTGTGGCCAAGGCAAACAGGGTCAGTCCCCTTAACTGATAAACTAACCCACTGCAGGATCCCTTTGGTGGATTTACAACTAACTTACCAATCATCCTTATATGCAATTTTAGTGATGTCAAATTAAAGCCCACTGGAAGGCAGAATGGAGATATATATTGCAGACGAAAATCCTTTCTACCTAGATACTATTTATGGGCATATAAGGATCAAAATGAGGTCTGATGAACACTTGTTACCAAGTTGTGACATGATTGTAGGGAGGGATTTCTTACACTAATGGCATTCTTCTCTTGTGAATTATAATAGTGAATGAAATCAATGCATTGCAACTCATCAGTGGTTTTAAGGACACTTGTTTTATTAAAATAATGGTCATCATAGCTGCAATACAGCATGCTTTTTAAAATGCTAATATGCTGTCTCGGCTAAAAAGATCTCTCTCCCAATCACAGAGCACGTACAAGACATAGCTGAAAGTTAACTTCATGCTCCCCCATAATCATTCTTGCTCAGTTCCCTGAGAAATTTATATTTACACATCTGCATGTCTGCAATCAATACACTGGTAATTACACATCTTGTAAAAATAATTTTAAATTTAACATGATAATGCACACATCAGTTGCATACAATAAAATATATAGACTAATGCCCGAAATTTATTTATTGAATGAAACTTCTGTTTAGTAATAGGATTTCATTTTCCATCACTGTAAGGGATGATGACCTCCGTGTTTCACCTGATTTTCCATCACTGTAGTTACATTTACTAAGTACATCAAATGAATTACCATTTACTAGATATTTTTGGATTAATCAACGATTTTATCATTAAGTTGCAATACAACCAAAGCACTACAAAATACTGAAATTAACATAGTAAGAGTTCTGATAATAACAAAGGAAAACTATGCAAATAAATTCTCAACTTTCCATTAATGCTATCACAAAGATTGCCTAATGCACTGATTTGCATTTTGTTGTGCAAGTTATTCCAACAATTTAGTATTCAAAACATTAAAAAAAAATATGAAAATATAAACAGCAAACAACATACTTGTGCAAATGAATTTTAACAAGAGGCTCCAAAAATGACTTTATTGAACCTAAGGTCTTTGAATGAGGTAGAAGGAGATTTTGGACATTTTGTACAAATCCAATGTCTGCAGTTTCAACTGCAGCATTCAAAAATCTTTTTATAGTTTTCAATACTATTTCTTTTCCACCAAAGTAGATTAGTTCTTTACATTCAGTCTTGACAACTTCTATAGCTTCTATTGAAAAGAAATTAAAAAAATTAAACTTACAAAAATACTAAATTGTATCATAAACAATTAAAATCGTTATATCAAAATATTTTTTAATTGCTGACTTTAAATTTTACTCCATACAAGATTTCCAAAATTTAAAGTATAAAAATATTGTTTCAGTGAGAAATTTAGCCTATTTTTATTAATATTTATGCATGATGGGGCCCCTCTCAAGCTCAGTCCCCCAACAACTGCAGTTGTTGTAGGCCCCCTAAATTGTTAGCACGTATTCTAACCCTGGCATATGTTTCATGTTTGAAAAGTGAAAATAATTTTGCCACCACTACATAAGTACTTAGAATGCTATCAAATAAAGGACATTTAAGAAACATATTAATGTTGGTTCATTAAACTAGTATTTAAAATTTGGAGGCACATAAAACATCAGTTAGTTGAAATCCTGCTTACGGACTATTACAGAAAATTACAATTTTCTATCATATATACAATGAATTTAAAGAAAAAGGAAAAACCCCAAACAACAATGAAGCTTGAACTTTCATCTTAAATTGCAGTGAAAACTCATTTTCTATAAGGTCATCTGAATATGGAAAAGCACATGAGGGCTCTCTGCAGGAAGGGAGGCCTTTGTGGAGAACAAGAGAAGCTGTCTTACAGTCATATATCACAAGGGTGGTATTTATTTATTTTTGCTCAAAAGAAAAAAGGAAAATAAAAAAGGATTGAAAAAGCTAATTAACGAAGTTATTAAAAAAAACAATAATGAGTTAAAACAAATTTTTATTAACTTAATATATTATTCATTAGTATTTATCATTAGTGTCTAGTGTTCACACTAGTGTGAACTTTGTTTAAAAACTCTTTGTTATTTTTAACAGTATTAAAAAATTCACTGCAATTTAGTTGACTATTAATTTTGCAGCTTAGTAAAGCTTTTACTGTCGATTCAGCCAGTTTACCTCTTACTTCAAACCATTTTTTATGAGAATTATAATTGAAAATAGTCTTTTGATTGTTGCCAGTGTGTCTCACATGCTTGAAAGTGTATGCTATCATTTAAATGGCACTGTGCAATGAAATGTGTTTTTTCCTTTGAAATGACTGAAATATTTTATCCCCTTTTTTTTCACAATTTTTCTTTTAATAAATTTCATAATTAGCTGACCAAACCTTTTGAAATCATTCATTCATCAAAAACTTGATCCATTTTTATTGCATAATTTGAAACAGTATAATTAATTTTTTCATTTGAATTTTCAATTTCAGACCATCTTAATTTACTGCTGTCTTTTCAAATAAAACATTCCACCTCACCAAAACTGTTTTCCCATAGCTCAGTATAAGATAGATATCCTTCAAAAAACTTTTAAATTCTTGTAGAGTTGTATTGATATTAATAGTTCTATTATCTTCAAATAAAAAACTTATTTTTTAAGTGCGTCATTTTTGCCATGTTCTGTGCGTTCGCGTGCATGAAACAGTTTTTTTTTTTTTAAACTTTCTCACAATCATCACATGTAAATTTGCAAGCAGTTCTGGATGTAGGAGCTAATTCCTCTAATTTCGAAGGATGGAACTTAATAATACGCGTAGATGTCGTCAGAATGAATAGGACTTTGAACATTCCAATCATAAAAAAAAATTCTTCCTTAATAATCACACTAAATATAAGGCACAAGTAAACTGCTAAGCAGGGTTAACTTCATAGCCTGACAATATTTAGCAGAACAACATGTCTTTAATTGCCAATAGTATATAGCAGATGCCAGCCTATTATGCTAGCGAAGCATATCACTGTGCATGCGAAGCCTACGCCCCGCAGAATGGAGATGCTACTGTTGGCCACTTGAATTTTCATGTCCCCCCCCATTTCCAGGCTAAAAGATTGGTAAGAAATGTCAAAGTTGACATCCTTGGAGTCTTAACCACTTACCTCTTTCAACGGGTCTATTTCTTTGTATTATATAAATTTTCCCTCATTGAAGAAAAGCATTTAAAAGCCTAATCACTAATCCCTACATTTCCCTTCATTTTTAACTCTTTTAAACCCAGACCCTTCGCTAAGCTGTATCCTCAAAATACCCGAATGGCCCAAAATACTTTTCCAGTTTCACAGCAATTTCTTCCCCTCCCCGTCCATTAACACAGAAAATAGTTGTGAAGTTGCGGCTTTAAAAAACTATCAAAGCGTTGGGAGAAAATCATAGATCTGAGTGGTGTTTACTACCCGTGCTAAAAGTATTGCTTTCATGTTTTTTCCCCCCACTAACTACATTAAGAATGTTTCTTGGAGGAAAACTTTTGTTACAACCAGATATTTTTTGTGGCTTTTTGCTTCTTGTGTATATTGCATCATAGTAGCATTAAACATACAAATGGCCAAGTCATATATATATGTATGTCTATATGCGACTACATGAAAAGTTGTCATACAATATCACAAATTTTACTTTAAAACAAATTTGAATAAAAAAAATTAAAGAATAAATAATAAAATAATTTTGAATTTCATTTCTTTTGTGTCTGTGAATTTGGCTCTAAATTTCTTACTTTTTGTCTCCCTCTCTATTTCGATATATATATATATATATAGTGCAAAAAGTCTGAGATCTGGATATCCAATATCTGGAATGATCTAAAATCTGGACCTCAAAGACATGAATTTTTTGAAAGCAATTTTTGTTTTGTATGCTTTACACATGTGCATCTAATTCCTCTCCCCTATGTGGAGAGTTCTGATTCTTAATTTCACTTTCACTTCGGAACTAAACAAAATATCACATTATTAAAGAAACAATCATTTTAGTATAAATAAATACAAATAATAATCACTTCAGCATAAATAAATGCATAAATTTTTGTGATCAATAATTTGGCTCCATAGCTGCACACCCGATTGGCATACATCTCAAACCAAAATATTATACATAGAAGCATTGCTGATTTTACACCTACTAATATTTTATATCCCTGACGGCAATTTGGTGAATCATTATTTATTATATTTTGCTTTCCTCACTACATGCTTATCAACACATCAACATGAGCAATGATTAATGTAGAGACGCCTAAACATTTTTTTATATTATTAATTGAATAACATAGAGTCCGGTAACATTTTATGTTGATATTACACCTGGCGATAATTACAAATTTAAGTTAAATGCGTTAAAAAATGTTAATGAGGAAAAATTTACCAAAAATGCCGTTCCACATGCTAAAAACAGATTTTGTTAATGATAAGGCCAAAAGATTATATTTTGTGCTTAAGAATAACTGATTGGTTATTCACATAAACCAAGAAACAGTGCCAGAGCTCGTCTGAACCTGATGGCAGAAATTATGGAGGACAAAATTTTTGGAATTTATAAACACTGAGCAAAAAAATTAAGGGATAACAAAATTGTTAGAATTTAGGGAAAGCACTGGGACCCAAAATTTAGGAGCAGCAAAAATTTAGAACTTAAGGAGGAACTCGATAGCAGAATTTAAGACCCGAGGAGACTGCATCAAGCAGTAAGATATCTAGTGCCTCAACTAGCCTCAAGTATATGTGAAAATTTATTTATTCGCGACTCAGATAAACCTTAAGCATGTGCAAGAAATACACTAATGTGCAAAAATTAAGGACGAAGTCGAAAAATTAGCATATCAGCTGAAGGAAGAGGCAGAGTGGACAGAAAGACCAATCAGGAGATTAAGTAAGGTGATGTACGGTAGCACATGCGCAGATATGCAGGTAGACGTAATGGGGGAGTGTCTGAGTAGTATAAAGCATGTTGTCGGTGTAAGATCAGTATTTCTGGCAAAGAGATTGCACGCCATATAGCAGTTAAAATCACGATAGCCGTATAGCAGTAACGATTCCGGAGCTTCGATTGGCGCTGCAAGACGAATGGGCAGCAATGCCTCAACAACTCAATGACACCCTCATTCTCAGCATGGGCAGACGCTGTGAAACCTGCCTAGCAGTCAGGGGAGACCATATCCCCTATTAAAGACCGGATGTTTCTTGCTGGACACCCATCACATGGATGTTTCGGCCTTCAGTCCCATTGCGCTCCATGCTACTTTTTCAATAAAGCTTCTTTTTATCCCTCCGATTTCTCTTTTAGTAAGTGTTGCTTACATTACTCATGTCCTTACGTATTGGGGATCTTACGGTATTAAATGTGTTGATTTGGAAAGCTTTTGTACAAAGTTATATTGAAAAAACCGTCTCGTCCTTAATTTTTGCACACCAGTGTAGATGCAAGAATAATAAATAACTAAGCTAATGCAGTTCAGGATTAATCGTCTCAATGCACAATATAAGCAAGACAAAATTTAGCAGAACAACTTGTCTTTTGTCGCCAATCTCATGATGCATAGCCAATAATCTATAGTTGTCGTTACTAAGCTAGGCTAAAATTATACTTTACTGATTCCAAGGGATTTCAGTTAATATAGCAGATTGGGCTGTTCCTTAACTTTATCCAGCTATTTATTTGATCCAGCTTATTATTTTTTGCTGTCTGTTATTATTACAGCAATTTCATGAAAATTAAAGTTTGAACTTTCGATTATGTCAAAAAGAGTTTCAAATTCTGGAGCTGCAACAGGATCTACAAAGTGAAAGCGTGTTTCAATGTCCATTAAACAAAAAGAGATTGCTTGCTGCAAAAAATGGATAAAGGTATATATGTCTCAAAATTATTCAAGGAGTATGGCTTTGGAAAGTCAACTGTATATGACATAAGAAAACAGAAGAACTTTTTGAATTTTTTGTGGATTCTGACAACCCATTTGCAATGAATAACAGAAAAATTATTCGCAATGGTAAAAGTGACAATCATGACAAAGTGATGATTGAATGGGTTAGACAGTCAAAATCGTAAAAAACAACCTTATATTTAGCGTAGGTATAATGAAACACCCAATCGATTTCGAGGGCAGCTAAAGGTCCCTCCTCATCAGGAGAAAGAAATACATAGAAAGAAGAAAATAGGAATCACAGAAACACG